TGATAGGCGCCTAGGGCCGCAAGGGTAAGGCTTTCCTCTTCTCTTACAATCAAACTGTACTTTGGTTTTCAGGCTTGCCGGTGATAAGCAACCGGACTGATGCCCCCCAGAATAGAAGGGGCAGTTTTGTTTTGTTAAAAAAAAAAAAAAAAATGCGCTGGGGGCAACCGGGAGGGAACCAGCCCGGGCCACCGGCCGGTCCAACCGGGAGGACCGCGGATGGGGTAGTGGTCCCCGGTCCATCCAGGGACCAGCCCTGTAGCAACATCAATTTTTCTGATTTTTTTTCCTTTTTTAATAAATGCGAGGCCAAGGCCCCGATGAGCCCCTTTTTGGCCCTGTTATGCAGCACGTCGGCCGCCCTAAGTGAAGGCAGGCTCGACGAGGGCCTGAGGGCCCTATTTCGGTCACCACGCAACTGTGGAAAATTCAGGCAGTTGCGCAGCGCCAGTTGGTTGAAGAGCACCCAGGCCCAGGCCGCCTGTTTGCATGCATGGAAGGCAGGCCCTGGGCTGGATACGGGATATGGGCCAAACACAGGCCGAGGACAGTTGGGCACAAGTAACCACCACAGGCCCTGGGCCTGATTCGTTTGGACTGGGCCTCAGCCTACCGGGGCCTACCGGAAGCTTCTTGGGACAGGCCCAGAGCAGCAGCAGGCAGGGCACTTCCATATAGCAAAGGGCCTGCCTCCGCATTGGATATTCGGGTGCTGGCTGCATGCTGCGCAAGCGCTGCTGCGCTGAAGCTGGCCGGCGCTCACGCGCTCCCGGGCGAGCTGGAAGGAGCAGGCAGCCATAGCCGAGCTGCGCTGCTGTGAGCTGGGTGTGGCGCAGGGTGGTCCTTGGGTGCATGTGGCATCTGTGCGTTGGGGAACGAGGTTGTGAGTGAAGCGAGAGACATACTTAGTGCTGGAAGCGTGCGGCATTGGCCTCTATCTGCTCATACTTCGGTGAAGCTGTTGACGTCATCCGGCGGCATTGTAGAGTAGGCTAGATAGGATCTGCCATCTGTAGTCTGGGCGCCAATATCAACATTGCTTCTTTGTTGATGATGATGATGAGACTATTCCAGCATTGTCAATTATGAGCTCTTGGTGTGTGCTTATTTGGTGAAACTCGTGATGCAATTCTGCTGTTGGTTCGAGGTCATGACTATCTGGTCTTATGTGTATGATGCTGTTTGATTTCTGAAGTTCGTTATCGCTCATCTTCCTTGCATAAAAAAAAATCATGTAAAAAAAAAAAGTGACTTTTCAGCCTCACAATGCCTGGAGAGCATTATATTCGTTTGTGACACCAGGGCATTGTATTCAGTAAAATTTAAGAAAGATCATGTCCAAAAAAAACGTTGTGTAGAATCGCATTGCAAACAACTTTTGGCTGAGGGTTGCTTCAGAATCCCTATTAATTCGAAGCTGGGTAGCACGGTGTACACGAACGCAGGCTCCGCGAATGTGCATGCGCGTACGCGTGCGCACGTACCCCATTTCTGAGCCCGCGTACATGGTTGTAGCAGGCCAGAT